CACAGGAGTTACTCCTGGTTCATGCACTCAGGAATCACTCCTGGCGGTGCTCGGGGGACCATATGGGATGCTGGGAATCAAACCTGGGTCAGCCGCGTGCAAGGCAAACGCCCTACCCACTGTGCTCCAGCCCCGATCTCTCTAATTTTTAATCCAGGAAAATTGCAGTCAAATATCTATATTGTAAGCATTTAATATAGTTCTTTTTCTATAGTAGGGGTGAATCCATTTGAAATGTATTCTTTTAATTGCTGGCATTATAAAAATTTTTGGCAATATAAAGTTTTGAGTTAAAAGACATTCCCAATATAGAAAAGAGATCCAGATGACTAATGTTAGAACAGCAGCTCAGATAAGTAGCACGCGTTAGGGGAAGTCATCAGCATTTATTATACTATTAAACTAGTCACGTTCTAATTAAAATATTAATTTCCCTATATTCATATTTTACATGCATTGAGTGAAGAGGTAGCAGTAAGTACAATGGGGCATGAATTTAAATACCTGAACAGCTGGCTAAGTTAGTGGGTTATCTTGGAAATTAAAAAGAGAACACATAACAGACAGAAATGTAAGATATTAAATGCAAGGTATCCAGATTAGACTCAATTGAAGATTACAGAAAAAAAGAAAGGACAGGGAAGAAAAAAAAGCACAGGAGGAGAAAGAAGGAGTAGGGTATGAGATAGGGATAGGCAGGTGCGGGTGGGTGAGTAGAGGGGGGGGGGAGAGGTTGAAGGAGGTTATAATAGGGGCAGAGGTCAAGGACCCCCAGCACATTGGTAGTATTGATGTGTGGTATGTGTATATATAAGACACAGAGTCAACAACACTGTAAGCATTGATGATCCAAACTAGAACAACCAAACTTAAAAATGTGCTTACCAAGGAAGGAGGCTGGGGGATTCAGAGGGAACCTGGGAACACTTGTGGAGGGGAGTCAACACAGGTGATGGGATCAGTGTTGCAATATTGTACATCAGAAACTTATCTCTGAATGTCTATGTAAATCACGGTGCCTTAAAATTTAAAAAAATCTTTAAAAAAGAAAATTTTAAAAATTCATAAAAGTAATGATAAAGTCAGGGAAAAATAGCAATGTTAAGCACAGTCCAGTGAATCTCACTCATAAATATTCTATGCACAATAGCTATTGATATTACTGCTGCTGTTCTTACTACCAATAACAGAATTTTAAAGTGTAAATTATGTTTTAAACTCTTGACCACTTATAATATTACTAGTGATTGGCAAAAAAGTCATCAGTGTTTGAGACCAAAAGATGGGAATACACATATAGGTGTGAAAGGATTAGGGCAAAGTTCAAGGGACTCACAATTTAGGGAAGAGAATCAGAAACTTGTACTGATGGGAAAGCATTTTACAGTGACAGTGTAATTCAAAGCATCTGTATTGTAAAACTCATTGCTTGTCATCTGTTGCCTAATGAATCTGCATAGTTCATACTTTATATAATAGACAGAGTGTTGATGTAGGACTTCTTGACTTCTAGAGACTAGAACATATCATCAAGCAAGTGTCCCATAACAAAGTATAGGATACTAGAGTTAGTTCACTCAGGGCATTCCAAAAGGTCTCAAAGGGTCACTGTCTTTTCATGATACTATGATGCTTTGATTTGGAGAATCTCTTTAGTGGTCATTATTCCTGATTCTTTCTGATTATTGGAAAAATCAAAGCACCAAGTTTATCAGTCAAGAATACCCAAGAAAATATCTTTTTCTAAGAGTTTTTCTCTCTACCGTTTACTTGTCTAAAAACTTAAAATGAATTCTAATATGTGTGTATATGCTATATAGGTGTGTATATGTGATGGATATGTGTATACATACCTGTATATACATATTTTTAATAGTCACTTGGAGAAGTTTATTTCATGTAAATGAACTCTTTTCTTTCTCATTAAGGACACTATATATATTTTAAAAAACAGCATTTTTAGACACCATGATTTACAATACTGTTTATGATAGGGTTTCATGCACATAGTGTTACAATATCACACCCTCTACCAGAGTGTTCTCTTAAAAGAAAAGAGGTAAGGCATCTAGAATGCTCTTTCTTTCTCTCTCCCTTTTAAGAATTCAGGAAAGAAGTCACTCTCTTATAAGTCATGAGAAGAACTTTTACCAAGAACAAAGGCGAGGTAGTATTGGAGTTTTCAGTCCCTAGAACTGTGAGAAACAAATCTTAAGCCACCCAGCCTACTGGATTGTTTTAGTGTGAACTGACCAAGACATGAGTTAATTCATAAAAAAAACTCTGGAAAACAAAGCAGACACAGGTTCAGCCTGCAGGAATTCCACCGATAAGAATGTTAGCATTATTAATGTTTGGTATTATAATCTGACACTGTAGGGAGGTATGGATTATTTATAAGGGACTATGTAAGATAGACTCAAGGAACCATCATTAAGACTGAATACATATGTCTTTGGCAACGTGGAAAATTTGGTATATTTTAATTTGCTATTTATGTATTTGGTGTTGAGCTCGAATAAGAGTGGCGGGACATCAAAGGGTCAAGTAGTGGAGGTGGTAGTTGGCTTAATATATTACAGTGGGTGGAAAAAGTACAGATAAGATTTGTGATTTAAATAGCAAAATCAGCCACAATTAATTTACTTATCTAATGGTCAAAATGGTTTTAGTCATCTTTTCTTTTCTCCCCTGTTTCATTACCAGGTTTGTCTTGGCTATTTAGTTAAGGTGTGGGAGAAGGAAGAGTTATGGTTATAGGATTTCATTTTGGAGTAGAAACTAATCTATTGTTCATTTATGTCCCACTATTTTCTGAGTATTTTAATTCATGAGATAGTTGCAACTGCTATCTTTACTCCCAACTATCAAATTTTATTTTTATTATATTTATTTATTTAATTTTGCTTTTTGGGTCACACCTGGTGATGCACAGGGATTACTCCTGGCTCTGCACTCAGGAGTTACTCCTGACGGTGCTCAGGGGACCATATGGGATGCTGGGAATCAGACCCGGGTCAGCTGCGTGAAAGGCAAATGCCCTACCTACTGTGCTATCTCTCCACCCCCTCAACTATCAAATATTAAACATTAAACATTAAAATATCCCTGATTTGTCATTTATTGTCTTTAGTAAGACATAGATACTTAATCATCCTGGTTTTATATTTAGAAATATTATATAATCAAATTTAAAAAGGAAAAGAAAATACAAAAATAATAAAATACAGATAGCACCCATATTTAATGCCATAAATTATTCTAATTACAATTATACTTGTATCCTTATTAAATTTATGCTTTATACCTTTTAAGGTGACTATTAATGAACCTCTAAAACATCAGTAAGTCATGTGCTGTACATTATTTTTTATTGAAAATTTGGGAGAGGAGAGATAGTAGAGAGGGTAGGGCTCTTGCCTTGTATGTGGTCAACCTAGGTTGGATGTTCAGCATCCCATATTGTCCCTTGAGCACTGACAAGAATGATTCCCAGGTGCAGAGTTAGAAGTTAACCCTGAGCTTCACTGGGTGTGGCTCCCAAACCAATAAATAAATGAAAAAATAAATAAAATTTGTCAAAAGTGTACATGCATTTGCCAATTCTGAATTCCTTCCAAATGCATTACATGACATTTATAGTTTGATGCACCATAGTAGCTACTTCCCCCCACCCCAATATAGTTTCTGCCCATTTTATTCATGAGACATGTGATTCTTAGAACACTTTGTGGCACAAATACTGATTCTCCCAGAGTGGAAAGCAACAGTGCTGCTGGAATTGTACACATCAGTGGGATGGAGCCTCTGAAGTAGGGTTGTTTTCAAAGGCTTATACTGGGGCCTTGCTCTGATACTTCATTTCCATTCGGCCTTTTAATATTCTTTCTCTGTAACCTGACTTTCATCCAGGAAGAGGAAATCCTTGGATTTAATTGAAGACAATCGGTTTAAGGTCAGGAGGGTAATACTAAACAGATTGGAAGTAAAGGTAGCCTGGAAATAAGGAAGAAGGTAAGATCTGAGTGGATTCAAAGATTAGGTTCAAAGATGGAAACCAAATGCACCTGGAAAGCAAAATATGCTTGAACCCCTGAAATATACAAGGCCCTGGGGAGATATAAAAATAAATCAAGCTTATTTAGTTTATTGCCTTCCCACTTCCCTGGTGGCTTGTCCAGCTGTTACCCCGGTTTGGGCAGGCGGGTGGAAGGACTGAATTTAGGTGTTTATCAAGGGGTGCCTGCTGGAGCAGCTGGTCTAAGGACCGTCAATGCCTTCATTATATATCAGTTCCCAAACTTCACAGTTCTTGATATTAAGTGGCTTTGATTAGAGATTATAGTGTTTCATTTAAATTTTAAATGGCACATTACAATGTGCTTTTAGGTCATCGGTAATGTACCTCTGGGCATACCACCATTTTTTATGTTGTCAAAATTACACAGGAGAATGGTAATACTTTCGATTAAAATAAGTAAATAGCCCCACAGAGGACTTTCTTTCAGTTAGAGGCAGTAGCTCTTGCAGCCCTAGATATGGCTAATAAAATATCATATAAAACTTACTGATTATTCAAATTGATTTTCCTTTGCCAAATCCATTGAGAGTTGGCCATAAGCTTCCCCTGAAAGGGAAACTTAGTAATACCATTTTACAGATGAGGAAATCAAAGGGTGTTTAAATTAGACTCATAAATTCTTATAGCCTAGCATTATGGTCAGAAAACTAGACAATGGGGAAAACTACTTTGATATGAATTTAGGCTTCAACATGCATTGTCTCTGTTGCTCTGAGAAAGTTATTTATCCTTTTTGTGTTTCAAATTCATATCTGGAAAGCGGAATAATATTAGTTTCAATTTTAATAGGGTCATTATGAAGATGATGAGTTAATTTTTTGCATTATTTTAAATTTTATTTGTTTCATAATTCAAATAACTTTATTTATTTATTTTAATTTTTATTAGTGAAACAACATGAGGTACAGTTGTAGAAAAAATATGGAACGCTTCACAAATTTACTAAAATTGGAACAATACAGAGAAGATTAGCATGGCCCCTGTGCAAGGGTTAATATTTTTAAGTCATTTAGAATAAAGCATTGTTATTAAATATGATAAAAGTGTTCATCTAGATTTTGAAAAACAGTGTTCATCTAGATCCACAATAGTTTATCTGAAACCTAGAGGAACAGGTCCCATGGACTTCAGAATTTTTCAGGTTTAAAAATGATGTAAGACAAAAGTCTATTATATGTAATAGCTACAACATAACCTGGGCACACTGTAATCAAACATATTGCAGTTCTGTAGCCAAACTGTAGCCAACACTCATGTGAACTTGCAGTGAAGAATTATAAAGATGTTTAAATCAAGTTAAGTTGGTGATAGGTAACAAGCAAGGGATAAAAGCTTGAAGCTCCTGGAGCCTTTTTTTTTTCTTGGTGGCGGTGGTTGAAATTTTACAAATGCAATCGTAATCTAAAATAACATTCACAGGTGGATACAATATTGGAATCCAAAAATTCCTAAGACATAAAGTAAAATTTTGAGGAGTCATTTTGTCTTACTGTTTTGCAGCCTGAAATAAGGGAATTTAAAGTGTTTTTCTCCAGGTGACCTAACAGTTCATGGGAAATAAGGAACCAGGTCTTTAGTTCCTTAAGACAAATTTTATGGAAATAATGCTTAGTCATATTTAAAAGAATTCTAGGATTCTTCTTCTAGAAACCTGTCTTCTTTTTGGAAACTATATTGTTCTAATGTGTTTCCTAAACTTACTTTACATTTGTTCTTTAGCTTGAGAAACTTCTGCAGAGGACACTTTGGGAAATTTTGTTTGGCATTATTGTAGTCAAGACTTCAAATGATTACTTCACAGAGTAGATACAGCCATAGTGGTGATTTATATGTTTAGAAGGAACTATATTGTATTTCCAAGCACTGAACTTAAGGAGAATTGTAAGGTACCCCACGTCTATACTTTGCATAACACAAACTTGATGGAAAAGGTACTACAAAGACCACAGGGAGTAGAAATCTTAATGCAGCCATTTGTAAGAATGTAAAACCTGTGAGTTGATGCCAAACACTGTTAGAAATCACTTCTCTCTCTTTCTTTCTTTCTTTCTTTCTTTCTTTCTTTCTTTCTTTCTTTCTTTCTTTCTTTCTTCCCTTTTCTCTCTTTTCTCCTTTCTTTCCTTCCTTTTTTCTTCCAAATCTCCTCTTCTCCCTCCCTCCCTCCCTCCCTCCCTCCCTTCCTTCCTTCCTTCCTTCCTTACAGGTAAACCAAAAAGAAGTGAACCCATGAAAATTGACTTTATCCACTCTGCTATCCATCCCATGTCTTGCTAGAGATGCATAATTTTCTTGTCCTTTGACCATGGAAGAATTTCAGTTTCATCATTTTCACCACAGGCAGTGAGGGGGGTGGATATTACAACATCTGTGGGTAAATCCTTGGGCTTGGATTGAAATGAGCCTTCTGTTATGTATGCCTATGCGTCCTCTAAAGAAAACATAATCTCTTTTAATGTTAAGATATTTCATAAATATTGCTCAGGCACTTAGAAATGAGTGGTTCTTTCTCCAAAAATAATGCCAGTTCTTTTAGACATGAACTGGACGTTTGATGCCCGAAACATTTTATTCTGCTAAAGTACCATTAGAAAAATTTTGGTTAGAAATTGTTATAGAGGTCAGAGAGACAGTACAGTGGATAGGGCACCTGTGTTGCATGTGGGTGACATGGGTTCGAGTCCTAGCATCCAACTATCGTCTCCTGAGCACCACCAGGATTAATTTCTGAGCACAGAGCCAGGAGTAAACCCTGTATGTACATTGCCAGGTGTGACCTCCAAACAATAAATGAATAAAACAGTCATATAAAAAGAAATTAGTTATTTTATTAAGGATTTATTAATATATTCCCATACAATCTAATGTTTCCTTAATAGTTACTGCTTACTGTCCATTCAATCAATCAAATTTTAAATGTTTATGATATCCTTTACTTAATAAATGTTGATTACCTTTTGGAGTAAGGCTTGAACATGTGGCCTTTACTTTTGCTTTCAATGGCACAGTAAAAATTTAGAAAGGACCAGTTGAAGGAGTGGTAGAAAGAATGTGAAAGATGTATAAGAATGTCTATAGGTTAGAATCGTTTATAGTTTTTTAAAGTGCCAAGTACCCAAAATGCACATGAACAACTCTATCAGAATTTTAAGGGATGGCATCCCAGGACCAATATTTATTCATCTGTAGTTGATTTTGAGAAATGCTACTTTTGGAAAGTGGTTAGTTTATCCTGCCTAATTCAGGTATCATTCATTAGTCATATCTCAAGGGTTACAAATTAGCAATCTGTGAGCTGAATTAAATCTATTTTGCTGGGTTAGCCTAGGATAACATTAAATACACTTAAATTACAGCATAGACAAGAGTTGTATTCTATAGTGGCCCCTGTCTTGACACTATATCACATACAGCCTCTTCTTTTTTTAAAAAAAAAATATTATGATTATTTTTTAATGAATCACCATGAGATACAGTTATAGACTTACAAACTTTTGTGATTGCGTTTCAATAATACAATGATCGAGTACCCATCCCTCCACCAGGGCCCATTCTCCACCACCAATGTTCCCAGTATCCTTCTCACTACCCCCACCCCCGCTCACCCCCTGCCTCTGTGGAAGGCGCAATCCCTCTTACTCTCTCTCTCTCCCTTTGACACCCAGCCTCTTCTTATGCTTGTGACCCTGGAACCAGATATCTGAATTTGTGACTCCTTAAGTATCTGTGGGGGTTCATAGTACAAAACCATTTAAAGCGCCAATCACAAGAAAGTGGCTAACCTAGACTAAAGGATGCCAATTGTCTCTTTATGGGAAACAAAGATTTCTCTTCCACTCTTCCTAGGAGTGTTTCTCTCAGGACAGAGAGCTGTTCTCTGGGACACTAGACCAGCTGACACTCCAGGTGGAATCTACCATGTGTGGTCATTGGCAGCAGAACTGTAGTGAAATAGGTTAGTCTGAGAGAAGTGAATTCAACTTTGCTTTAGGGAAAAGCAAAGAAGGAAATAGGATGAGAGATAAGCTGAGCTATTGAGAGCAGAAAAATCTGGGTTGAAGACATATTCAGAGACATGTTTCAAATGAGTGTGATGAGTGGAAAGGACCTTTGCGTGTCATCCATGTGAGGGACCCATGAAAGTGGCGAGGTGCAAGGATTTAAGCTGCCTTTTTCCTGGGTCTGCCCTTCCTCTGTCATATGTTAGGACCATAAAGAACTCAGGGGTTTATTACTCAGAAATTCACAGAACAACTGACTAATTTCTTTGTGGCCTTTCTCCATGTGGGAATAGACTAAAGTGGCTGATTAGAAAATGACCTGTACTTAGATAATATAAGCAGCTGAGTAGTATGTATAGAGAAGTACTAGAGAACATTTAATTGATTAAAAAGTTAGTTCTTTTGTTTATTTGTTTTGCGGCCAACCAGGCTGCTCATGGTTTACTCTTGGATCTGTGTTCAGAGGTCATTCCTGGAAGTGTTGGGGAATCATATGAGGTGTCAGGGATCAAACTTTGTCAGGGACTGGAGCAATAGTACAGCGGGTAGGGCATTTGCCTTGCATATGGCTGGCTCGGGTTTGATTCCCAGCATCCCATATGGTTTCATGAGCACCACCAGGACTAATTCCTGAGTGCAAAGCCAGTAATAACCCCTGAGCATCATCGGGTGTGACCCAAACAAGTCAAAAAAAAAGTAAACACCCCTAAAACAAAAAAACCCTGTTCAGCCTCTTGTAAGGCAAATACCTTACTGGTTGTATTATCTCTCTGGCACCCTATTAACAAGTTTTCTCAAACATCTACTCTCTGCAAACTTGAAATTTAAATAGTTGTAATCTCTAGACAAAAACACAATAAATTTGCAAATGAATACATATGTACATATATATGTGTACATATGCATATGTACATAGACGTACAACATCAAGTGGTAGTATAGTGTATTAAGTTATGGGAAATGTTCTACAAGGTGAGCCCTCAAATGGAGTCTTAATGAAGAGAAAAATGAAGTGACTGTTACATGCTAAGCAGAGAACCAAAAAATGTACATGTCTAAATTTGGAGCATGCATGGAGGAAGAAAAGTAGGGAGGTCAGTGTGTTTGGAGAGGAGGAACAGGCACGGAGGTGTAGGTCCCATGGAACTCTGAGTCTATATTTTCCCCTTTTTTCTCATAAAATTTTTTTAGCATGAGATAAAAGTCATTGAAAGGGTTTGAGTAGTGGAAAGGAACAATCTGACCACATATAAAAGTAAGCTAATTTCAGGATAGCTAAAATATTGTAAAAGGACTTGAGAAAGGGGTAAAGGGGAGGAAAATAAGTTTCCATTTTATTTTGTGGATGGTCAAACAATAGAAATAACATAAGGCCAATTAACAAGAGAAAAATTTAATTATATACATATGAGAGCTGAAAGGCATGAGACTCAATTGAGGCTTTTATGTATCAGAGTTAAGGCGTGGGGTAGGAATCTGGGGCCTCAGGGAGGAAGAGAGAAATTCAGAGAATCATAATAAGAGCAAATGTTAGTATTGTATAGTGTTCGTCCTGCCAAACACTGTGGCTTTCAGAAGTTGTATCTGGTAATACATCTCTTCTCCAGTCCCCCTATCTAATTTATTTTAGGCAATTAAGGAAGAGAAAAAAGTTTTTCTTTTGCCTATTGGATCTTGATTGCTTTAAAATCAAAATAATCTCTGTGCCCAAGTAGCACATTAAAGGGAAAGGTGCTCTGAACCCTATTGGGAGCAAAGACAGTGGGTCAGAACTATGAGAACTGGTTGTACAGAGGAAGGAGCAATAGATTTATTCAGCTCTTCTGCCTGCATAAACCTTAGTAAGGAAACACAAAAGTGGCCAAATGGTCATGACTTAATTTACCAAAAATAAAATTTGTTGCCTAAAAGTAGATTTAAAAAAACTGATCATGTTACATAAAAAATTTACTAGGGAAAGATAAAGACGGGCATATTTGAGGTACTTTCAGAATGTAAAGTAAAAGTAAAGGCCCTCCCGTTGATCATC